GCAGGGACCTCCCCAGACTCCCAGGGCCTTTGGCAGACAATCAAGAGCATTTTTGCCATAACATGCACTAGCTCCTTCAGTATTCCAGGATGAACCCCATCAGGCCTCGTGGACTTGTGAACATTCAGCTAATACAGCTGATCCCTTAGAATTTCAGTGTCCTCAAATGGAAAGTCACTGTTCCCACGCTTGCAGTTCTCCAACTCGGGACTGGGCAGCCCAGGGTCTATGAGTGTTATTCAAAACTAAGGCAAAAATCACACTGAATGCCTCTGCTTCTTCCTCATCCCTGTTAGTCATCTTCAACAAGTATCCATCCAGTGTTTTCTTTAGACCTACTCTTGCTGTTAACACACTTTGAAAAGCCCTGCTTGTTATCTGACACAACACTGGCCAGTTTCAGCTCTTCATTGAGGTTTGGCCATTCCTGTTCCCTGTTCAGCCAAGCAGTTCTTCTGCCATGCTTGCCTGTCGTAGGACACAGTGGGACTGGCTGCTCTAGCACAGTGGAAACTTGCTACAATTTCTTGAAAAAGAGGTATCTGCAGTTTCATACTAAAGCATAGACTCCTTTGGGTGCTTTGCTGGGGAGGCTTTGAAAAGTATCCTCTCCTTCATCATGGCTAGTACCTGGTCAGTGGCTGCTGTGGATCATCTTATCATCATTCTGATACGCTGATGCTTTTTCGTTAGCAGGTCTGTGTGTCCCTGATAGAAAAATGGAAGTAGCTGATAACGGTAATTTCTCTTCTTCATGTTTGAAGCATATCACAGACTTCCAAAAAACTCTCACTGTTGTTCTTTTCCAGGTGTTGTCAGCTGCCTCAGCAGCAGGAGTATCTGTAGCCTTTGGTGCCCCAATTGGTGGAGTCCTTTTCAGTCTGGAGGAGGTATGTCAAGAGCTGTCATTGGAGGATAGCTATTTCTTAAAAATATCTTTTTAGCATGAATAATCTCAGATTGCTTTAGGCTGCAGAGTCTTTCCTAAGTAGGAAGTCATTTTTGGACTCATATTTCAAAGTTGTGAGTCCTGTTACGAGGAAACTCCTAAAGATATTTTTTCTTTTCTTTGGATGAATGTCAGATTTGCTTTATTCACAGCTATATTTTATGGATAAGGCCTCAGTCAGTCAACAATTAAAGTTTACATACATGTGGAGATACAGCAGTTTTTCATTCTAGGAGTGTATTCTAAAAAAAAAAAAAACTTTGCGAAGTAGACTTTGAAACTTATTTGACAGTTTTGTGAAGCATAAGGTTTTTTGTGAAAGGTTTTTAAACAATACTTTTCTTAAAGTTTCGGACACTGAACACAGTTGAATACATTAATCATTAAAAAGGCAAGTATGCTATAAAACTGACCTCCAGGTCAACCAAACTCTTTCCTCCAATAAATGTTTTTTATTAAATTTGTTTTCTTAATTGTTTTCAAAACCCTGAGGAATTATTTAGATCATTAGCATTTTAAAAGAAAACTGAAAAATACTTTTCTTAAAGTTTCGGACACTGAACACAGTTGAATACATTAATCATTAAAAAGGCAAGTATGCTATAAAACTGACCTCCAGGTCAACCAAACTCTTTCCTCCAATAAATGTTTTTTATTAAATTTGTTTTCTTAATTGTTTTCAAAACCCTGAGGAATTATTTAGATCATTAGCATTTTAAAAGAAAACTGAAAATCTCTGAATTGAAAAAAGGAAGCAAAATATTCTTTCATGTATAATTCCACTGTAACATAGGGGATTTTGAGGAATGCCTTTGTTGCCAAAAAAAATCCAAGAAAGCTCTGAAGAAAACTCTCTGAAATTCAAATCAGGCTGTATGGGGCTTAAGTATGAAAATGCGTGTTCCTTTTTGAGGAATTTTTTTTTGGTAATGTTTTAATTGTACTTCATAAAAATAACACATCTGCCAGAAATCTTTAAGTGGAGGTTGAATGTTTCACCTCGAGGTTTCACCTTAAAACAGTATCAGCAGGCAATTGGGGAG